CGAGCGAACGAGCGCATGAGCCGCTCCAACCTGTGCGTCGGCGTTGACGTCGGCATCGGCGTCGGAGTCAATCTTGACGTTGACTGCGCGACGCGTTTGCGCTGCCGACGCAACCAGTTATGAAATTTAGACTGTGACCCTTAGTAACTGGGCAGCCATTAAACTGTTGTTGTTGTTTTTTGGTAATATATATAACTAAAAGATATAATATTAATATATGCATATAAATATGTACATATATACATATAGGGAAGATAACATAAGTGCGACTTACTGCATCTTGCCGAAGATTAAATGCCCTAGGAACTAAGGAGCTATCAGAGCGATGGATTGTTTCTAAGAAAGTTAATTTAGGCATTTGTATACAAATTCATATATTAAATGGGCGTATAGTAGGTATATAAATTCGTATATATGTATGTATGCATTTACTATCCCAAAACCTAGCTGCTTAAGTTTATTTCTTCAGTGTTTTGATTATATATAATTTATTATTTATAATTAAAATTATTATTAATTTATAATAATTTATTTTTATTTTCTTATAAGAAGAAATCGAAACTTAGGATTGGGACACGAGCCTAGTGTATAGCTCGTAGCAAGTAAGCAGCTGGATAGATCTAGAGTAATATTCAATTATATTTGTGTATGTATAAGATATATATTTATATACCTAAGACTTATTTCCATTTCTTGAGCTTACATATAAGTAATCATAAATCTATATTACTCTCAAGAAGAGTATATACAATATATGACCAGATCACATACGTTTCAGACCACTGTGCCATTGCTGGCGCTGCGCTTTTCGCGCGTTTTTTTCCAAAAAAAAAAAAAAAAGTTTATACAGAAACGTTTTTTATGGTTTTTGGCAACACCAGCTTTTATTATTATTATTTTTTCCCCATTTTAGCTGCTTGACTCAGTTAACTTTTTTTGCTTCTTCGCTTTAGTTCACAAAATTGGGAATCTCTAAAGATTTTGGAGAATCGCGGGCGTCTGTATATGTATGTGTGTGTGTGAGTGTGGGTGTAAATGATGTTGAGTGATGCATGTAAATGTTTGACAGGTTTCATTTGTTGCACAGCTGTGTGAAAACTTAACGCCATTCGCATGGCAGTTGTTCTTGTTGTTGTTGTTATTGCTTTGTTTCTTATTTTGACTTTGTTTGGGGGCCTTTGGCCACTTGTTGTTGCCACAATTAACGTCGCGTCGCTCTGACACCTGACGCGTGTGTCCAAATATCTGTGATGCTTCGCATTTGTCGCAGCCATCAAAAAGCAGAAATGTTTCCGTTACTGAAATTGATGTAGAACCACTAAGAAACTTACATAAATTACAATAGAACCGGAAATGGGCGTGGCTTAAGTGCAACAACAGCAGCAGCAGCAGCAGCAAGCTTAATTAAACGCCGACACGTGGCAAATATTGAAATAGAAAATCTAGACAAAGATCAGACTGAATCGGCACACCCACACGGCGAGCGGACATTAATTATAATTAATTGTTGCTGCAATGCAAACAAAACATTTGTTAAAAATTTAGAAAAATATAGCATGCAATTTGAATCCAATAAAAATTAGAGAACATATAAAATGCTGAATGTATTAATAATTCATTAATATTAATATAAAATATTAATAATATTAAATATTCATAATTCATTCAGACATAAAAAACATAAATGATACCTATAATGCCTTTCAGAGTGTAAAAGCGAATTTACTGTAAATACTCTATAGTAAATTATTATTCTTGTTTATAAAATTTTGATTTGTTCAGAATATATTATATAGAATTACATATTTATTTATTTATTTTTTTATAACTCAGCAACTCTGAAAAAAGAATGAACCCATGTGATGTATGGTAGACACTATAGAGTCATGCATGGACTTAAAGAGACTTATATCTGACATCTGTATAGGTGTATAGCTGATAATATATATCATATTATTCGATTGATGCTTAAGCAGCTCCAATTGGTCAACTGAAATGCCATAGAGGTCCAATTTACCTATGAGCGCCTCCTAGGCAGCTGTTCCTCTTCTAACACAGTCTGAAATGCCTTTGCTCAGGTTTGAGCGCTACGATTCAAAAACTTCTACAGAACATTTTGAGGTATGCCTACTTTTCTTGCCGCCACTGTTCAGTTCTCTGGGAGTAAAATGTTTGCATTTATTATTGATTATTAATAAAGCAATATTATATTTAATACACTTATTTTTGTGTTAACATTTTCAATTTGAATTAAATTATAATTAATAATATAATACAATATTTAAAAAATATAAATATATATTTTAAAAAAATTGTTTAATTTTTTACTTTCGTTTGCTTATATTAGAGTTTAATTAAATGATAATTAAAACTATAAAAATATAAGAAAAACAGTATAACTTGTATCAAATATACATATGCATATATATTATATATATTTTATGGACCACATATAAAGTGTTAATGGAATATTTATTTAATTGGACAGTAAGTAGACTCTGGCACCACCATTGAGGACTGTATATCGGCTAGAGTGGGGCAGCCTGTTAGGGCCATTGTGATGTCAAAGTCATTCCTGAGCAGAGTCAAGAGATGCTCCACGCCACGTTGGCCATCGCAGGCCAGGGCCCAGATGGCGGGGCGACCTATGAACACCATTTGGGCGCCCAGAGCCAGAGCCTTGAATATGTCGTTGCCCTCCCTAATGCCGCCATCCAACATGACGATTAGATTAGTGCCGACGGCTCGGACAACCTCGGGCAGTGCCTCGATTGTGGCTGGGGTCGAGTCCAGTTGGCGTCCGCCATGATTGGAGACAATGATGCCCGCACAGCCGAACTCACGCGCCAGCTCGGCATCCTCGGCAGTTAGGATGCCCTTGAGGACAATCGGCAGTTGCGTGAGCTGCTTCAGCCACTTGATGTCCTGCCAGGTCACCGTGGAGTCAAACTGACTGGCCACATACTCGCTCAGGCCCGAGTCGCCTGTGGATGAGGCCACATTGGACTGCGCTCCCTGAAAGTTGCCCAGACTCAGGTGGGCTGGCAGACAGAACTTGTTGCGCACATCTGCTCGACGCTGGGCAAAGATCGGAGCATCCACAGTCAGGACGAGAGCCTTGAAGTCAGCTCTCTCCGCACGACGCACCAGGCTCTCGGTGAGCGCCCTAAATATAGCCCAGAATATCCACATTTATCTCTTTTAGACAGTGTCCACCCTAACTCACCGATCTTTGTAGATGTAGAGCTGAAACCATTTGCAGGTCTCGGGCGCCGCGGCAGCCACCTCCTCCAACGGGGTGTTTGAGAGTGTGCTCAGAATGAACGGGCATCCAGCGCGGCCTGCAGCTCGCGCTGTGCCCTTCTCGCCGTCCGGATGCGCCATCCTTTGCATGGCAACGGGCGCAATGCCCAGTGGCCACTTGAAGTGCTCTCCCCAAATGGAGCAACTTGTCTCCAATTGTGCAACATTGCGTAGACAACGGGGACGCAGACGCAACCTATTTGTAGTATTGATTAAAGAGACAATATCAAGGAAGTCAAATATCTTAAAGAGTCTGAGTCTTTTTATTTGGAAATAAATAAAAAGAATTATGAGAGCTCTCAATTAGAATTTCTTCTTGGCAGCTGAGCAACAATTGCAGAATTTAATAACACAAATTTATAAAAATATATTCATTAATTTAATAAATTCAATAAATAATGATTTCATTCAAAAATTAAATTTAAAAGATAATTAAATACGAACCGTTTAAAGGCCTCGCGATTATAGCCAAGCGTTAACTCTTCCCATGCCCCACTTCTGTAATAGTCGAGAGCATTTTGTTCGAGCTCCACCATGGCCTGTTTCTCAAAGTCGGATACGGAAACAAATGACATTTGATTTTAGATGGGAGCTTCTTTTATTATGAACTGAACTTTTAGTATTATTATTATTATTTTTATTGTAAATTTATTAAGTCACATTCTATTAGAGCTTGAATTATGATGGCAGTATGTGCGCTACCCTTGCCTTTATATAGACGAGCTAGGAGCTGGGCACAGCTTGCAGTGGATATACTTGGAAATGCTCAGTAAACAAGCTGGCTGGGCTTAACTGGTAGACAACCAATACATCCATTTATATAGGTTTGCTATTACAAGCGATTCCATAAATTAAAATTATTATAGAGAACAATAGTTGAGGGTAGGGGCATATGTAAGTTAAAAAAGTATAAATATGTATGTTTGTCTGCATATTACTAAGTATACCAGATGGGACTCGATGTGACTCGTCATTAAACCGAATTCTCTCTCTATTTACTCTCTGCAGTTGCTCGGGATCAGATTCTAGTCGAGGGTATAAAAGCGATGGTCGCTTCCATATGCTCGTTCAGTAGGCGGAAGCAGCTCCTGCATACAACTTTTACGTATCCAGATTATCAATAAAAAGCGCCCAACTTTTGATTTAGATTAGATTTCCCTTGGGATGCTAGAAGAGGACCAGAAGAAGGATTTCGAGATAGGCCCAGTTCATCAGTCCGGATCATCAGCTGAGCTGTTTCTATTCTATCCTATGAGAAATATATGAAAATTGGATTTATGTGATTTTTCTTGTACAGTGAAATCCCAAATTGAAACTATTCAAAGAAAAGTTTTCATTCAACAAAGTTAAGTGTTTCTTTATTTGGAATGTAAATTTTAACGGCCTTTGCGAATATGTAACCAGTTGAACTTAGTCTACAAATTAAAGTTTTTTACCTACTAGATATTGACGCATTCAAATTCATTTAAAGACTTACTAATATCTAACACTAAACAAAAAATAAAAGAGCAAAACTCTTCGCCTGCATACAAATAATTAATGATTTATAAAAATAAGACATTAAACTGAAATAAACAAAAACAATAATAATAATGTATCAAAATAAATTTTATCATCACATAATTCATAGCAAATATATATAAAGAGTATATAACTAGATTAGTACTGTAACATATAGAAATTAGACTTTGCATTGGTTAGTATTGAACGAGTATTGTAATTCATATATTTATTTGCATATTCAGTTCGGTTGGCAATTAAGCAATAATATAAATGGAAATTGGTCAAGTGAAAGTTGAAAGTTGCTAAAAACTAAGTGCAAATTCATAACATGCAAATGCAAATGTTTGGTTTAAGTAGAGTTATGTTTGGTTAGTTATGCCTGCAGCGAATCAAAGAGCTTGCCCAGCAGATCCTTCAGTTCGACAGCGAAGGGCACCGCCTCGAATTGCTCCGGACGGTCCGCTTGGAGAGAGGCCAGATGATCCGAGAGTATGGTCAATTGCTTGAATAGTTTGGTGCCGCGCAGCATGGCGCGACACTTGGCGCTGAAGCCGAACAGCTTCCACAGGCAGAGGACCACCAGGTGGTGCTCCACGTAGGAGTTGATGCTGGTGTCGCCGCCACCGCCGCCGTCCTGCACCGGCTGCGAGACAATGTCGCGCAGAAAGTCCGTGAAGCCCGTCATGTTGACCAGCAGCATGCGATTGTGGTTGCTGAAGCACATGTTGCGCACGATGCGGAGGCAGCGCAGGCGCAGGATGCTCAGCGGGGGCGAGCGACGCACCAGATGGAGCAGGCCCTGGAGGTGGCAGACCTTGTAGCCGAGCTCGTACCGGGAGAACACCTCCCAAAACGCTATCCAGTTGACTAGGGCTTCCGGCTTGACCTTGATCGGATTGCTGCCAGTAGCCGGCATGATCGTATCGAACATGTCCAGCACACGCATCTTGCCCAGACTCAGACGCCCCTCGGCGCACGAGCAGCAGTTGATCATGACGCGCAGTGAGGCCTCGATGATTGAGTCTGAGCCGCATTTGGCCAACTCCGGCTTGGCACTGGCGCTGGGCCCCTCCTTCTTGGTCGACTCATGGTCCGCCACGCGCACCATCAGCTGGAGCAGCGAGTGCGATTGGCCCGACAGCACCTGCGACGTCTGTTTGCACATCTCGAACGAGTGCTCGGTGAGCAGCGTGGTCAGGCGCACTGTCATGTGCTTCAGCACGGCCGAATGCGACAGCCAGGGCCACAAGCGAACGATCATGCGGACGATGCGGGCGGCCGTCACGGGATCCGTAATGATGGTATGCGGCGAGTTTTGCCAGTGCATCAGCAGGTTGAGAAGCACCAGTAGATTGTTGATGATGTCGCGCGACTTGTGGGCACCGACGCGCCGCACATAGACGGTGGCATTGCCAATATTGCTGTCATCGAGGAACGCCTCCAGCAGATGCAGTACGCGCTCCAGCAGCTTGAACTGGCGCGCAGCGTCCACGGCCCAAACGGATTGCTTTAGCAAATTGCCAAGCACTTCGCACACCTGAACATGCAGCGGCTTGGGAGCTACCAGAAAGCTGTATGTCTTCGACGGAAAGAGGTGCTCGAACAGCTGGTCCAGGCCGTGATAGAGCAAAACGGCGGCATTTGTCGCCTCCTTCGCCTTGGCCGCCGATTTGCTACCTTTGCCTCCGAGGCTCTTCTTCTTGGACGTGTGCTTCAAGCTCATCGCCTTCAGTTGCTTGTTCAAATCATTTGTACTGTTCTCCTTGTCATCGCTGTCGTTGGGCTTCTCCTTCCTCTTGTCGTCGCCATCGGTGCGCGTGTCCTCCACATACGCCTCGAACACGAGCAGCAAGTTGAGCTCCTCGGGCGCGTCTTGTGCCTTTATCAGCAGCAGCGAGATCGCCGACAACGTGTACTTCTGGATATCGGTGTCCAGATAGATCGCATTCAGGCCATACAGCAGCAGGTCGAACAGCAGCTCGGGATGTTCCCTGAACTTTTCGCAGAGAAAGCCATAGGCATTCGCATCCTTGCAGAACACCATCAGGAGCTTCAGAATTTCTTCGATGTGCTTCTCATTCACCATCTGCGGATCGAGCACGGTGTTAATCAGCGAGATGAAGCTCTTCAGTAACACCGGATCGCGGCAGATGCCGCGCTGCAGACAATCAAAGTTCCGCTGGTAGCACATCGCGTACAGCTTGCAGATGTGGCCAGCGCACAGCTCCATGTAGGCGCTGAGCAGGGGCTGGGCGGGCGTGGGCATCTTCAGGACGTCGCTCAGTGCATTGAAGAAGGCATGGTTGCAGAGCACGGCAGACCAGCCGGGCTCCAGCTGGATCAATCTAGCACAGATGCTGACGTAGCAGCTAATCAGATCGAACGACGAGTTCAGTCCGGATTCTTGCTGCTTCTCTGGCGGCAGCTGCATCCACATAATCGCTGCGTGGGCGTGCTTCAGGTACGAGTGATAGTTGAACAGCTCGTTGCATGCTGCTGCTCCAATATTGCGTATCAGCATTTCGAACACGCGTCCCGCCAGCTCGCGCACCAGCAACGCCTCGTGATCATCGAGCATCGTGCTGAGGCAGCACGCAGCCATTCCACCTGGCAGAAAGTCATGGAAATCGAGCAAAACTTTGGTCATGTTGCTGCCGGCATTTTGGATCCAGTTGGCCATTGCCACCCAGGCGAGCGAGCGCACCTCCGTGTCCGAGTGGCCGCACAGGCCCAGCAGATAGCGCAGCACCTTGTTTTCGCCCTGCACCTTGGAGCACGGCGAGCCCAGTTGCTTGCCCATGACGTGCATCCGGCAGACGATGAACAGACAGTCGCGCTGCCACTGGGCGCCGGTTTGCGTGGAGGTGCGCAGGTTGCTCGACAGCTGCACATAGTGCTGATAGTAGGCCTGCAATGAGAGATGCATTTGGAATAGAATACATATATAGCCAACTCATGGGGAAATCTCTGCTCACCTCTATCTTGGAGCTGTCCAACTGCAGCGGCTGTTCGCTGAGCTCTCGCAGCACGGCCAACACGCAGCGCACATGCTGCAGCTTGCGCTGCTCGAAGAGGGAGCGCGCCCGAGTGCTCAGCTCATCGAAGAGTTGGCTGGGCCAGGTGACGGTGGGCTGGATGTGCTGGTACCTCAATAGCTGCACCAGGCACTCGGTGACCAGACTCAGCAGATTCAATGAGACATTGTCATCGCGCAGGATCTCCCGGAAACTATGATGCGGATCGGTTTCGAGGGCATTCTTGAGGCCGTTCACCACCTCGGGCAGTCGGTGACGCAAACAGTTCTGGCATAGCTCCAAGAGCGCAATGTACAGCAGCAGATCGGCATTGTTGCCGGGAGTGAGCCGCACATAACGGTGCATCAGCTTCCACAGGGCAGTGCACTGGGCCGGCTCCACCTCGTCGCGCAGCAGCACTAGAAACAGCTGCACGCTGGCAACCAGCTGCTGCAGAGTCTCGTGGCTGCTGCAGTTCTTGGCAGCGATCAGTTGCTTCTCCAGTTGGACGTGCACGAGCGTAGCTTGCACGAGAGCCACGTCGGCTGGCTTCAGCTTCAGCGCATCCCTGATGTCCATTGCACCGACGACAGACAGCGACAGGCTCTTCGGCGAGCCGCAGACCCTGTTCGCCACATAGAGGCGCCAGTGCTGAGACTCGATGGCCGCATTGCTCTCAAAGTGCTTCTCGTAGAGGGACTTCTGCAGCTCCAGTCCCTCGGTGGCGTCTGTCAGCGGTGCGATGTGGTCCACTTCGTAGGTAACCGGCACCACCATGGCCGAGAGATCCACGTCCAGCTTGAGGCAATTCTCTTTTGGCCTCACGTGCTCATGGAAGAGCAGCGTGAAGATGCATATGCTCACGTCGGCCCGAAGCTGCATCTCGTGCGGCATCAAAAAGAGGCAGCGCAGCAGACAGACGATCATCTCGGCGTTGTGCTTGAACTCCTGCCGGAATCGCTCGCTGCGAAATATCACTCGCAGTATGATGCTAACCGCCGGCAGCAGTGTCTCAACCTCGTCATTGCCCCCGGCGGCCTCGCGCACAAGCGGATCGTGGAGCGCCCTCAGGCAGAGCACAAAGGCGCTGTCGCAGGTGGTGAAATAGTGTACAGCCTCCCAGCTGTGCATCAGCACGTTCAACTGAATCAGTGTGGACTTGCGAATGCTCGGCTTCAGATCTTGTGTCTCCAGCAGACGCAACAATGTCCCCATGCTGCGCTGAAAGGGCAATTGCGAGCGTTCGCTGAAGATGTTGTAGTAGTTGACCGGCGGCTTAATGAGACAGATGTCGTGGCCAATCAGCTCGAGGCACAGCTTGTCCATGGCCGGGCGGTACTTGTGCTGATGATCCTGCCAGACCAGCACATAGCCAATCCGACCGATGGCGTCCTTGCGATACTTTGCATCCGGATGATACAGGTAACAGACATTGCCGCGCAATGACTGCGGCGGCTCCAAAAATTCGTTATCCGGATCGAATAGCTCCCAGAGCATGTGCTGCAGCTGCGGCTGGTCGATGGCGCGACACACGATAAGCGGAATGACGGGCATCACAATCTTAAATATTTTAATAAAGTCCTTGGAGGGCACCAGCTTGGCCAGCCCCACCATCATTATCATGTAGTCGACGACCCATTGCTGCACCTGGACCGACGGCTCGGGCCGCCAGCCCAGCACGAACAGCCTGCGCAACAGCTGCGAGCTCATGGGCAGGCCGAGAATGTGGTTTCGGGCCAGCTCAAGGTTGTTGCAGCCGGCCATGTAGTTGGTGCCGTTCATGAAGGCGTGAAAGTGATCGACAACGGGCTGCTTCAGCTGGCGCAAGGCCGAGTTGCGCAACTCTTCGTTGGGCAGATCGAACAGGGTATACAGCAGCGACTCTGCCTCCTTCCGCAGCTCGGGCTTGGCTATGTAGAAGCTGGTACATTTGACAATCGCCTTGATTAGTGCCGTCATCAGGGAGTCGCTGCCCAGAATCAGCAGCACCAGGCATATTTGGCTCTGATTCTGCAGCAACTCTATGGCCGTCAGTTTTTTCTCATCGACCAACTGGGCCAGGCCCATGCCGAGGGCCTGTTTGATGCGCACCATATTCTGCTCTTCGGCCGCCGTCTCGGGGGCAACTATGCCGCAGATGTCGCATAACGCCTTCATGCGCTCGGGCAGGCAGGACAGGTATGAAATGTCCAGAATTAGTGGCTGCAGCAACGACCGGGCGGTCGTCTTGGCAATGCCCTCACTGGTCTTCAAGCTCAATGCAAGAACATCCAAGAGCAGTCCATTGAAGATCACCGACTCCAGCCGGGGGATCATCAGCTTTTTCACCAAGCTCGGTATCTCGCTGGCGTGGCTCACATCGAAGCTGATGCAGTAGCGTATCAGCTTGGGCACAATCAGTCCCAGTCGTTGCACAATACTTTCCGGTATCGTTGCACCCAGCTGATCATAGGTTCTGATCGTCTCAAAACTCAGCTCGATCAGATGCCAATTGTGAGCGCAATGCTCCAGCAACGGTGGTCCAAGCAGTTCCAAGCAGCCATTCAGCAGCAAGCTCAATACGCTCGAAACGCGCAATTGCTGAGGCAACGTGGCGTGGGTCATGGCACTAAAGCCAGTGTCATTCGATTCCTTGCGCACGCGCAGACGATGCTGCAGCAGCTTGATGAAGGTCAACAGCGCCCGGTTGGCGTGCAACAGCGTTACGTCCGCCTGCAACTGCTGGACGTGCAGCAATTGAAGGAATATATACGGATCCTGAAATAGTTGTTCGGCTGGATAGTCGCATAATTTGATTTGAATGGTCGTCAAATTCTCCTGCAGCTGTACGTCGTTGCCAATTGTCAAAGTGTCATTAAGGGTCTTCATCGTGGCCACATCGTCTGGGCTAGCGCACGACCAGGCCGTTTCAAAGTCTTCTGGGCCAATATTAAAGTTGTCCAAGGCAAACAACTCCATGTCGCCGACGCTCTCACGGGATTCGCCTGTTGAAACGAACCGCATGTCATATACCTAACATCATTATCTATTAGAACACAACATACCGGAACTATTGTTGCTATTCCCATTAGGGTTACTGTTAATGGGAGAGATATTAAACTCCTTGTAGAGGTATGGCACCAGGCTCTGTATATTGTCCAGCAGTTCCATAACACGTTTTGACTCCACATTTTTGAGTATCTTTCGTATCTTATTCAGCTCGGCTTCCAGGCGCTGGCAAGGAATCTTGTTGACCACAGTCTCGCAGTAATCCGATCGCAACAACTCGAGCATTAGAGCTAGCACGCGATCCGGAGCAGCTAGCGGTGTGTGGCCAAACCAGCGTATTAGTTGCTTGAGCAGCAGCACGGGCTTAAAGTTAATTGCCTCGTCGTGCTGCAGACAACGTATGAAACGCGTTTCAATTTGCTCCAATGCACGCATTCGTATTTCTGCCGACTCATTAGTCAATTTAGCCAGCTGCTGCTCGCCCAGCGAGAGGGTCAATTTGGAGGATATCGATGATGTTGACATTCTGATGTTGCATCTGTAATTTGAGCAAATCTCGTTGTTCACATGCCTATAATTGCTGTCATCACTTACTTGTCCTTATGTCCTGGTATTTATTTTACAAAATTTGACAATAGTTCACTTTTACAAATAGATTTTCAAAAGAGACGTCAGCTTACGCGCGTTCAAAGAAGCCGACAATAATTTTTGACGCCGCTGCCTTTTTGAGTATAACAGTCATGTTACTTTACAGTGCTGTTAAAAATCCCAAATTAGTATTAATGTTAAGCTATTATTCTGTTGAGGACGTTACATTTTCAGTTAGTTCTCTGTTATGTTATTTAAATGTTGCCGCGTATTAAATTATAGACCACTGCTTCAAAATCATATAAATTTCGGATTAATGACTAATTCTAACAGTTTAGTAATTATTATATATATATATTATACGCATCTGTTGAAATTGCTGTTAGGCTTTGAATCAATTTTAAATTGTTAACATGTCCTGTAAATAACATTTCCTAAAGCAGTGTATAGTAGGATAATAGAATCAAATAAATCAATGGTGTGAGATTTACACACATGTAAACAAATTTTAAAATTTTTTATTTATATTTGTTTTTTCTTTTCCAATTAATATAGACATTTGACTAATGAAGGCCAATTACAGGTATTCGTCTTAATATCGAAGTATAAACCTGACGGGCAAGTAAAGTTATAGCGAACTCCATTCACACACCTGAAGAATCGATTGCAGTCACCTTCTTGCATAAAGAAACCATCTCTTGCACAGTTCTGAGTCGCTGTCGGAGGCGGAGTTGTAGTTGGACTCCAAGTCGGAGTTGTAGTTGGAGTTAGAATTGGTGTTGGAGTTGGAGGCGCAGTAGCGGTCGGGGTTGGAGTTCCAGTCGGAGCTAGAGTTGAAGTCGGAGTCGGAGTCGTAGTCGGCTTAGGTGTAGGTGCAGCAGTTACACCACCGCCACCACTACCTCCTCCATTGCCCACATCCACTCCCAGTCCCCTGTTCATTGCCTTCAACAGCGGATAAGTCTCCCCACATAGCCCACGGAAGTCGTCGGTCTCGATGGACCAGGTCATGGCGCCGCCCAAATTTCGTGACTGCACCAATTGCATCTTGAGTTCGATGCTCTGCACGTTGTCGTAGCCAATCCACTGATCCCCACTGAATGCATAAGGCGACTTTTTCTCTCCGTCAAACACGGTTTGCCAGTTCTTTTGGCATATTTCATGATAGCCCATGAAACCTCGTTCGCGAGTGTATGGTCCGGCTTCTCCGGGTCCCCTGCAAGGTGCTCCCGGTTGATTTTGCGAGCTGTCCGCCATCTGGTAGCTGTGGCCATAGAAACCAATTCCAAGGATTAACTTCTCGGCCGGCGCACCTAAACAGATCGGCATAAGTAAATGAGATTATTTGGACTGCATTACTGACCTTGGCTCAGCCAGTAATCGATGGACTTCTCCACCTCTGGATATGGAGCATTGAATCCCAAATAGCCATCCATTGCCATGTGGAAGTCGTAGGTCATAACATTAATGAATGTTAGATGCTCAGAAATTGCCGGAATATCGTAGGAAATGGCGGCAGACGCCTCAGAGGCTCCCACAGCGATGCCAAGCTCGAGGCCGTGAGGAGCGAATCTACACCGGGATATATAACATGTATGTATATGTATTGTTGATTCACATTTCCACTTACGCTTCTTTAATTTCCCGTAGAAGAGTTACGAAGTTCGCCCGATCTGCTGAACTTCCTCCGCGCTGTCCAGGATATTCCCAGTCCAAGTCGAGTCCATCAAAGCCATGTTGCCGGATGAATGCCAATGTGGAGGATATAAAGGTCGCTCGCTTGGCTGGATCAGCAGCCATGGCCGAGTACTTGGTGGATCCTTCGTTCCATCCACCCACAACTGCCAATACTTTGAGTTTGGGATTCCGTTGCTTCAGTGCGATTGTCTTGCTTATAAAGCCTGCAGATGATAATGTGGCTTGTGGATAAATTTATTATGATACCGGACAGGTACTTACCTAGGCCATCGTCCATATCGAGCCAAGTGTCCAGGGACTTGAATTCGCCGGAGTCGCTGATGCCAAAGAACGTGTAGCTAATGTGGGTGCACAGGAATGGATCGATATTCGAGGGCTCGAACTTGCCATCTCCAGGGCGATAGTTGGCCCAGGTGCCCCAGTAACAGTTGAGGATCTCTGCAACATACAGGCAGATGATATGTATAAACTGACAACGAAAAGGAATTCGCACTTACTGTCACTGGAGGCCATCCGGCCGAGGCAAAGAACAAATAATACTAAGCACGCAAGCGTATTCATGTTTTCTCTGTAAGTCGGCTTATTCCGTGGTATCTTTTATAGTCGTTTTACTTATCAGTTCCTTTATCAATTTTACTATGCATTGACTAATCACGCATGCCTTGCGTAGATAAAAGTTCTCTTCATGAAAAACAATGTCCTAATATATTGCATTAATTTTATAATCTCGATTACAAATGCGCATAAATTAAATTTTTACTCATGCCATGCATAGTACTACTTGAGATTAAGCAGAGAGTAAATCGGCTAAGTACTTCATTCGCTTTATTAAAACAAAAATATATTCGTGATGCAGCGATTTTTGGACCCCCTGGAAATTATTTATTGCCGGCAGAAATATTTAAAAACTCTGATTAAAACATCTAATAGCTTGTATGATTATTTATATACCCATGAATGAACGCTTTCTAGAGGGTATTTCAATGTTGTCATGAAATAGGTATTCGTCTTCGAAGAATGATATGATGTGGGTCAGTCTTATAACGATATCTTTCCTATGAAAGCTGAGACACAACACTACTCATCACTATATAAATAAAGAATTTATCACTCGATTGACAATAAGCCCATTCACAGATATAAAATATCACCAACTATGTATATCTACATTATCGTTCGGTTTAGTTTCAGTTAAGAGGAATATACCTTTGATACGTACTATTACTGCCTATATAAACTAAAGTTTATTAATAAGCAATAACGCCTGTCTCATATCTATTGATATTCTATCAAGTTAAAGTTTTATCAAGGAAAAAAAAGATATACGTTTACTATTCAAGTGCATCAAATGAAATGAAATTGCATTGGTTAAAAACAGAATCAAAATTTAGCAAATATGCACAGAAGGATTATAGAAAATATATTATAAATATTAGATGGAGATTTTAAGATAACTCATAAATCTTTTTCTTATTATACAGCAATTGAGTAAGAGAGAAAGGGAGAAACAGAAGAACTAAAGAGAAGTGGAGAGAGAAACAGAAATATAAAAAAGGGAGAGAGAGGGAAAGCTCAAAATATATTAGATTATAACAAAGTGAGAGAGACAACAATAGAGTGAGAAGTAGGGAGAATGTGATTGATTGAGTGAAAGAGAGAGAGGGAGAGTAAGAGAGAAAGAGATAGAGAGAGAGACAGAGGATGTGAGAGACGTAATCGACATCAACTTGCCAGAAAAATGAATTTATTCATATACAAAATGAAACTAAGCTTTATATTAAAATATGAATATATATTTTTTAAATATTTTAAATATATTTTAATATTTAATTATAGTATTTCCTGGTTTAAAATTGGATTCTCAATGCTCGAGCTTGTTTTAGTTATACTTTTAGTAAGATCATTAAATTGGTAAACAAAAAATTATGATTTTATTTTTCATCATTTATTTCATGCATATTTTACAATTTTCCATTCTTATTGCATTACCAACGCAACTTTCGGTTGATGGTCTTCAGCAGAGGGAATGACTCGCCGCAGAGGCCACGGAAGTCGTCGGTCTCCAGGGACCAGACCATGGCGCCGGCTAGATTCTTGGAGAGAGCAAAGTCCATCTTCCACTGAACACTGAGCACATTGTCGAAACTGACCCACTGATCGCCGGAGAAGGCATAGGGCGCTGCATTATTGTAGTCGAAGACCGTCTGCCAATTGTTCACGCAGATTTCGTTGTAGCCCAGGTAGCCGCCCTCGCCGGTAAAGGGGCCGGCACCGCCCACGCCCCGACATGGTGCTCCGGGCCAGTTCTGAGAGGCGTCAGTTAGCTGGAAGCTGCGTCCATATGTGCCAATGCCAAGCACGAGCTTATCAGCGGGCGCCCCTAAAATATATCCATTAAGTTAGACGGAAGAAATAATCGCTCAGTAAGTGCTTTACCGTTGTTGAGCCAATAGTTAATCGAGTTCTCGATGGCCCACTGGGGCGCATTGAAGCCAGTCTGGCCATCGGAAGCCATGGCAAAGTCGTACGTCATAACATTGATGAAGTTCACCTGCTGGGCGATATTGGCTATTTCATAGGAGCTGCTGGCTATCGACTCGCCGGCGCCTACGGCAATGCTCAGCTCATAGCCATAAGGTGCAAATCTGGGAGGGCACAATGGAAAGATCAGATCGGAGCTGAAGTATGAGCTTATGAATACCTACGCCTCCCTCAGCTCGCGCAGTAGAGTCACAAAATTGGCGCGATCCTCCCACTGGCCGCCACGCTGATTGGGGTACTCCCAGTCCAGATCCAAGCCATCGAAGCCGTTGTTGCGCAGTAAGTTCAGCGCCGAGTTGATGAAGTTTTGCCGTCTGTTCCAGTCGCCGGCCATGGCGGAGTACTTGACAGATCCCTCGTTCCAGCCACCCACCACGGCCAATACCTTGAGATTATGATTTTGGCTCTTCAGGCCAACGGCCTGGCTGATGAAGCCCAAGTCATAGTCCAGCCAGGTATCCAGCGACTGAATCTCGCCATTGTCATTGATGCCGAAGAACGAATAGCTCAGGTGGGTGCACAGGTTGGCATCGATGTTCGATACATCGAACTTGCCATTGCCACTCCGATAGTTCGCCCAGGTGCCCCAGTAGCAGTTGACAATGCCTTCAATAGAAACGGAGATGGGATCATGACAGATTAGCTCGGCCTACGCCACGCCCACTTTTCACTTACGTTCGCCCGAAACGAGAGCACTCAGGCCAAGAACGACCAGCAGAGCTATTAACTTGTTCATTTGGACTGCCTCAGACTTGGACTAACTTCTGATAGCTGCTGCGACTCTCACTTTTATACGCTCCCCTTATCACCAGCTCCGAGGCAAGGTGGCATATTTATGCGTCCACTTGAGCTCAAGTTGCCGCATTAAGTGCAATTTACTTGATATTCCTTAAGCTCTAGTCGATCGATCCACTTCAAACAAAACATTACATTAATCTTCGGTTGCCATGGCACTATATACGATTATTAGTTTTAATCTCAGAGATTTCATAAATTCATATTAAAAGTCATCTAAAAAAGGTTTTTAAAATCCTGCAGGGTATTTAGTGGTCAGTCATTTAAAAAATACATATGACACTTCACTTGGTTTATTAAGAATTCATTACTCTCCCACTTACATGAGTGTAGCTTATCTAACCTAGGATAATAAATAGGTAATTACCAAGAACTGGAGAGCGATATCAGTGCTTTAAGTACAAAACAAATTCCCCGATGGGGAGGAAGCGTAGCACACATATTGCTAGGCTTCTTCTAGTATTTATATTCTTGATCAAAGAGATGACCTTAGTCGTATTTCGGCCTGTTCGTCTGTCTGTATATATAAATGAACGCCCCAGTCTCAAGACCTATAGCAGCTAGAGCTATAATTTTTAGGGGCATATCGAATTGGTTTTAGCTGCTATGAATTTTATGAATTATGAATTTTTCTTCACTTCATTTAATTTTTCCGTTTTATAGTAAAGGCTATATATATATTATACAATATACAATAAAAAAAAATAAATAAATAAATAAAAAAATAAAATTATTTATATATTATCTTATATTGGTTCTGTAAAAGTTCAACCTCTGATTGGGTTGATTATGACCCAAAGTCCACTCTGACTATCTAAGGATTTGGCTAGACAGCTAAAAAATAAATCAAGTCTCACTTTCTCTTAAACTTAACGTTTATTAACAATTCAGGTTAATTTTGCAAAAGTTACAATAGAAAACAATAGATAAAAGCAACCGCTATTCGATTTTGAGATTCATTAACAATACAGAAATTCATTTGACAAGAAATAAATATAGAACCAAGTATATTCAGCTGCCAGGCGTTGGAATAGCGATTGTTGTTGTTGCATTAGCGGATTTCAGTGCGTGCGTCTCAAGGCATCTACCAGGATGTGCGACTATTCGAGATATGGTGGCCTTTGTGCCAAATGCCGATCTAGTTGGAGACGTAGATCTCGAACTCCTTGTAGGCCAGCTCCTCGCCGCCATAGGGTATGTAGCAGCAGCCGTGCGATGGCTGCACCTTGCCCACGGTGACGGTGCCGTCGTGGGTGGCGCGTCCGATGAAGAGGGGCTCGCCCTCGGCCGTCTCGCCGGCGGGGAAGGCATTGGGTGGAATGTTACCGGCCTCGACGGGCAGCCAATTGCCGCCGGCGGCGCAGAGCACCTCGTACTCGTTGTGGCCGTGCTCGCCGCCGCCCCAGGCGACGTAGGTGACGCCGTGGGATGGATGCAGCTTGCCGGGAATGAGATCGCCCTCGTGGCGGGCGCGTGCAATATACAGCTGCTCGTTGCTATCGAAGCCACCTTGCAGCGCATTCGGTGGCACCTCGCCATTGGCGGCGGCCACCCAGCAGCCAGGACCGCTACCAGTGGGTTCCGTGAAGCCCAGGACGGGTGCCGAGGGTGCGACCTCTGTGAAATTGCAAATGAATCGAAATTGAGTTGGATTCCACTAACTGCTGAGTGCTGAGTGCTGAGTGCACTTACCGTCTATCAGCCAGGTGCCGCTGGCACCCCAGCCGGTGCAAATGCCAACATAGTTGACGGGGAACAGGGAGCCGGCATCATAAGACAAGAATGCCGCCGCATCGCCCTCGTGTCCGACGGTGATCACGTTGTCATACCAACGCACCCAGAAGCCACGGAATTCGCCAGCATCCAGGATGCCGGGTGTGGGCACCTCGGCCACCTCGGGCTTTTGGCCATCTTTGCGTATAACGGACTTGCTGTTCTCCCAGCCGCCCAGGAAGATCTCGTAAATGGGCGGTGTAACCTGGGGACCAGAGGTGAGCGCCAGATGGGCATCCTTGGGCGAACGCACCTTGAACGTAAAGATGCCGCCGCTGGCCGGAAAGAATTGGTATTCCAATTTATCGGGTGTGTTCACTTCTGCAAAAGAAAACAAGAAATATATTTAGAAATCACTAAAAATAAATACAATCATATATGTATGCATATGTACAATATATTAAATGGAAAAATTCCAAAATCAGACATGATTTTTAATTGGGAACATAAAGAGGACAGCTGGTAAATGAAATAATTTTACAGGGTATGCGAAAAAATTGGGGGAAAATAAATATCAACAAAAAATGTAAACATTATTAGGGCCTTCTATTAATTAAAAAAAAAAGTAAAAATGTATTTGGTTATATTTATATATATTATATTATTCGCTAGGGTATTTGCAAATATCTATCTCATTTGTTTTTTTTTTTTTTTACGACAATAAATTTAAAAAAAAAAATAAATAAATAAAACATGCAAATTATTTTAGACTATTATTAAATTTATGCAATGCACTATGGGAAAAAAGTACGATATTTTGGCATTAATACAATTTTTTTGTTGTCTCAAACCGCTAAAGAAATATTTTTTTCCAATTCTAAATTCATTAGATAGAATCAAAATATTTTTGTTAAATTTTTGGGGACTACCCCTATTATTTGATAATTTTACAAAGTCAGCTGATTCAGCGCTGCATTGCAATGTGAAAAAGCGCGCCAAATAGATCGCAACTTTTTAGCTGTATAAAATTTATTTGTTAATCGCATAAATTAAAACTTAATATGCAAAAAGTTAATAAAGGTATATATAATAAGTGTCCGTAGTGATTTTGTATACTTCTGTGTTTTTGTGTAACTGTGCAATGTGTTGTTCATGTGTATTTTTAGCTTAATCCTAACAAATATGTTTGTGTTCTGTGGAGTATAACTTTAACAGTCCTCGCTAGGCCTCGGCAGTTTTAGCTGAGGGTAATTAACTAAACCATATAATAACCCATTAATAACTTTTGCCCGTTTTTGCCCCTTTTCCCGAAAATTGACATGTTGTAGTTGCGCTTGAGTTTAGACGCTCAGTGCTGCTGGAAATTTGGAGATGCAACAACCGCCAAAACGACGTTGTAATATCTTTTATTGCCAAATCTTTTAACAACAATGTGAACGAAGATCTTAAAAAAATTATCCAAAAAGAAGTCGAGGAATTTATTCACTATATAAAAAAATGTTTGTTGAAATGCAATAGAATGTTAGATCGATTTAAAGTTAAACATTCTACTTGGCTTGATGGCAATGTTGTGATTGCGTTTGGTGAGCACGAGACGTCTCCAAATAAAGCTGGACGTAAATATTTAAATTATGAAAATGCAGAATGTCGTTTAAAAAGAAAGTTATCATCAGAGCTTGCGTCAAAGGAAAATTACGAAACTCCACTCTTAATGAAGCCAGAAATAAAATATACAAGAATGACAGAAGATCTCATGCAAGAAAATGCAGCAGATTGAATAACATAACTGATGTTTTCAACAGAGCATTAGACTCGTCGGATCCTCTATTATCAAGCCTCTGCCTAAATGAACGCCAAAAATTAAATAAAAAAAGGAATATTCCGAATGAAGTCGTTGCACTATTTGAATCTCCCGATCATATTTTGAAAAATCATGAAGGTGATTCAAGTGACGAATGGACAGAAGACGAGGATATTGCATTTGATATTAAATTAGAAGAAGAATGTGACTAATTTTAGTTCAACAATATGAAAATATGAAAAGAACTGTCAAATTCATACTAACGGCAAAAAAATATCAAGGAAAAAAATTATAGGGGTCAAATCAGGGTCAAATTGAAAAAACCAAAAAAATCCGAAATTAAATTAAAGTCTGACGAGCATCCACAAAAAATTTCATATCTCTAGCTCATTATTTGGAATTAATGCCAAAAAAATGGGATTTTTTCCCATAGTGCAATGAAAAACTTTTAATCTTTTTTTTTTTGTTAGGGTATTTGCTAGTCGTCTACTCGCGCTGTCTTTTGATTCTGTTGTTATTTGGATGAGCAAGAAACAACGCATTTGATTCGCATGATGTCATTTTGAGTGTTGCCGGTTTCTCGCAGCATTCTCTAGACCTCAGCTATGAATCACTGAGAGAGCTCAGCTCTGCTACAGTGAAGCTCGCCCGCCCGCTCAGAGTGGTTCTGAGGCAGAGCTTACTGCTCGCAGACACCAATTAGATGATTGTTTGAGGAACGTTCTCTCCATCCAACTATTTAACTCCGGCTGTGTTTACATATATACAACGTTTAAAAAGCTATTGGCATTCAAAAATAACTATATGTAAAAATAAAAACATATGTATGTATTTATATATAATTGTGTTTGTGCATCTGATTTATATATGTTTGTGGCATGTAGAATGTTTGTTTGTGCGAAATTTCACATCACAGCGAATGACATCATTTGCCTGCACCGCGAGGTCAAGCTATAGACAATTTTTGTTGTTCAATATTGATTATTGCCAGGGTTCAAGGAGGCGATAAGAAGGTAATTTATTTAATTTGCCAACTCAGTCTAAATAATTTGCAAAGCTACTCAAATTCTGTTATCTCAACTGGAATTGGGCTACGAATTCACAAGTTCTTTAACCCCTTTCGAGAGTATATTATTATCTATTCTTCTTACAAATGATCCTGCAAATGCAGTCTTATCGAGCTTTTACCACTTTTCTTAACTTTGATTTAGGGCAATGCCCCTATAAAACAAAAAACAAAACTACAGAAAACGCTGATGAATATTAAGAATTTTGAACAGCACAACACTTTTCGACATTTCTCTTCTTGGTTTTATTGGACATAGGCCAAAATAGCAACAAATGCGGATGACACACAGAAAGAGAGAGCGAAGAAAGAGATAGAGCGAGAGCTGTCACAGCCGGCATAATAAACAGTAAATCCACTGTATTTATTTTGAGGTCAATATATTATGTTTATTCAATTATCCATTGACTTCAGTCCAATTAGAACTAACTCACGACTCACCAATTGGCATGGTTGCTTCTTATTTGATTCGACGTTGTGCGCTGGTTGAGATTCTAATTCAAACTGACTTGGCGAACGATTTCACATGCGAGGTAAACACCTGCTTAACAAGACGCACGAAGAGATAGGCAGAGAGAGTGAGAGCCAGAGAGGCATGGCAAAAAGCTCAGAGAGCTGTCACGTAAAGTTTTCTGTTTGGCAAAAGTACAGTAACAGTGCCAGTCAATGTGTTGTTGGATCGGGCTGCGCGAGGATGGGGGATCGTTGTCTATTGAATGCTGGTCAGACTGTACCCCGTTACATACATACATTTCAAACCTCTCCCAATTCGCATGCATAAGCTTGCGGTTCCGTTCGCTATGCCAAAGGCAGTAAATCAAATACTTTAACCATTTTCGGGGCAACGCACAAGAATAATCAATTTTGTCATAGGGTGACCAAATCAAGGGTCATTTGCTTGAAATACTTTTTCTAGTATTTAACTAGTATTTTTAAGAATACAGCCCAAGTTTCGTCTAAGATATGAACAGTTCTAAATAGCAGTTAATTTTAATATTTTTTGTTACTTTACTAGTATCTGAAAATCAGCAGAAATCGTAAATCACAAATACAATGTAGTTAGGCAATAATAGTTATTTCAAGAACATTTTATAGCTGTGCTAAAATAATTAGTAAATCACTTTCAGATTTTTACAAATTTATGCACATTAATATATTTATAGCTTGGTCAATTAGCAGCGCTTGAAACCCAAAATTGTGGCTTAGAAACAGATCTATAGACAAATGAGTATACCTTCAGCTAGAGTATTAACAATATTTTCAGTCACAAGGTGTAAATAATATAGGTATATTTGTAATGAAAATTCTAGATACTTCCATACGTTTTTTTTTTCACAATATTCAAATATTTATATTGAAGCAAACATGTTTATAAGTCAAAGTTCTTGAAAAGCTTCTGCTAATTCGAAGCTTTTGCTACTCAAGCTATGCAAATTAAATTAATATGTCGTCACATGTCGCTTTTATTGTATTTGTCATGACAAACACTGGGCTGAGGGAGATACGTCACCGATGTGGCACGCAATCGAGCTAAACATATAATATTTATGTGAAAAACTGTCTCAATAATTTATTCATTTTCAATTAAATATATATCATTAATTTATTAATATTGTTATTCATTGACAATATATATTTTTAGATCATGGGAAAAATATTCTGACAGAACTTCACATAAAATACATATTTAAAATATTTACAAAAATTAATATTAAAAAAAGTTAAAATTAAAATCATTATCTAATTTGCCAAAATCATGCATTTATTTATTTTATTTTATATATTTATTTATTTTTTTTTTTTTTTTTATTATTTTTTTTTTTTTTTTTTGCAGCCTTTTGGGTAAACATTTGAAAAGTATAATCTTTATCCAATTTTATTTATCAGTGTAGTAAACTCAAAATATTCTATACTCTAATTTCAAGCACGTAATATCTACAGGTTTTTTGGGTATGCTAACATTATGATGCCCAAATATCATCATGGAATACTACTGCTACGTGGCCCAGTCAAAGGCGGTTTATGTCTCGACTCAGCTGACTCACATATTCGCATAGTTCTGTTATGGTGATCTGTGTCTGGATATATGTATACATATGTATACATAGCGATGCAGACATATATGCATTCGTAATACTTGGGCAGTTAGTTTTTATATTTTTTGTATTGTGTCATAGCCCAAAGAGATTTCACCCACAAAATGAGCTCATACTATAGTGTTCAGTATCCAATTATACAGGGTGTGCCAGCTGAGATCGGTTGCCATTTGAAGAATTGGCTGAATATACATACTGCTATAGGAACTCACATCAGAACAGATGATATAAAGTTTCATCTCTTTAAACTAACTCTAAGTTTATTTGAGTTATTATAGCAGTTTTTCCACTTATACAAACAATATCAAGTGTATGCTAATCGGAAATATCTGACTAGAAAATGCCCTAACTTTATGTTATTCTGCTTTAAATTATCATTCGATTGGAGTAGATAATTGGGAAGCGATCTTCGAGGAAATTAACTATTAAGTCTGTAATTTTGAAATGGCTATACTGATCTCATATACTCTGTGGCATTTGAAATCTTTATATCATTTTCTATCGTCTTCACATAATCTCTCACAGACATATCATACCTCGCTTGCATTTTGTGTTGGGTATTCAGACTTATTTCACTCCCTTTGTTATATACTTACAAATAGAATGTATAAACAGTCGTAAGTAATATCGTCTCTCAAGTTTTATTTCTATATAATATAAAACAGTTAATCTACAGTGAACCCTAAATTCAAGAAACTTGAGCCAATTGCACTGAATTTGATATCGTTAAGGCTGGACTTTAAAACTGATTCTTTTTATAGGCCCGTCAGAGCATTAAACATATTTTTAGTTGTAATGGAATTAATACTTACAAAGTATCGTATAATTTATATGAAATTTGAACTTGATCTGGAATTGAGAAAAAACTTTGTATGTAATTCACTTTTTCATAGAATACTTTATTTGTTTACTTTTTTACTCTTCAACGTAAAGAACAAAGCATAATTTTAGGCCGAACTTGGTTCCTAAGAATAAGTTCATAATATTTCGAATGAAGTATAATTTTGTTTATCAAGTTGTATGGAAGAATGCAAGCGTGCATGTACGAGTATGTTTGTATGTACAATATATATTGCTTTGTTCTACAATTCTTGTGAATTAAATAGAAATATTATAAATAAACTCGCTATATTTATTTTATAAATCGCGACATTTCGCATTACTTGGTAATCAGTTGTTTTCCAAACATATTATTCGTTTTATCGAATACATACCGTATTTTCTAGCTTAGCATTCAAATGCACCGTTATAGCTAAAACATTATGCTTTATATTCTGTTTCTGTTGTTAGTTCTGATTCGTTTCGCTGACTATTGTGAAAAATTAAATGATCGAAATATTATAAAATTGGCCATATTAGTGAAATTAGTGAAAGTGAATGGATCATTTTGGTATCAGTGCTACGATATAATCAAATGTCTATTTTGAATAAGGTCTAGATTAAATAAATCATTAACTGAGTACACTGAAGTAAAGAAGCTTGATATTGGCCACTGAAGCACATGTATATGATATAATATAATATCATATACTTTAACAGAGCCTCTATATACGCTGCAATCATTCAAAAGTGGACTTTAATAGAAGGAAGATTGACTCGCAGTGTGTGTGTGTGTGTGTGTGTGTGTGTGTGTGTGTGTGTGTGTGTGTGTGTGTATGCCTGTGTTTATTGATATGTACATATGTACAAGGAAATAATTATAGAACTATTGGAATAATAAAGTGCATGGTATCTGCTAGTCGTGCACTTCCGTCTAGGGCATCCTCACTTCCTCTAGTATGGCTATATGAATGTAATATTAAATTGCTCGAATGCACTAGGAGACGCCTGATGAATGGCTCTATCTTAATAATGGCTATTAGGGAATGTACATAAGAGCCCCATATAGTATGCAAATATGCATATTTATGTGTGCTGCAATCAAGAGGCTCCTCTAATGTCAACTGCATTTATACGTATAAACTCGAGTAAACATACTTGTTTAGCCAATTAAATTG